AAATAGATTAATGTCCTTGCACATCACAATTAATGACATAAAAATACAAAACAGTGTCGAATAACGAATTTCTGTACCAGAATTTTAAATACAATTTAAATATGTGAAGTGGGTGTTGGAAAATCCAAGATGGCTGTTACTGACAGTATACAGTCTAATATGAGATCAGTAACAACCATCTTGGATTTTAACTTATGGTATATTATTAGTTATAGTGTCTTTAGTTGCCCTATACGGTGTCATATGAGGTCAGCAGAAAAATATACGGCATCTAAAGACACGATAACAAATTTATTATGCTGAGAAGTTTACACTATTTGGTATCTTTGCCGCACATGTCATGTCAAAAATTAAAACTCAAACTTAACACTGGACAACCTAAGACTTTGAGGGTCAAAGGGAGACTACTCTTCAAACCTCAGAGGCCAAACCTTGTTGATAATTTTAACTTTATATAACCTTTATAAAAGTCACGCATGTGATCCAAAAACACATTAACAACCTTGCACATCACAATTAATGATATTAAAACACAAAACAGTGTCGAATAACGAATTTCTGTACCAGAATTTTCATGTGAAATATGTGAGGTGGGTGTTGGAAAATCCAAAATGGCTGTTACTGACGGTATACGGTTTCATATTACGTCAGCAACAACCTTCTTGGAGTTTTACTGATGGTATATGGGCTCATATGGGGTTAGTAGTTCTGTTCTCTGATTGGTCAATCTCACTTTGAGGCATAACAAGGGTTAATGTACCCTCTGTGTTAGTGTTCCCTGAACCCGAACTAACGTGAACAGCCAAACTAACATGGAGGGTACATGAACCCATGTCACTCAAGGGACTGGTTAACAAAGAATATATGTAACTGTGCACCTAATTATTTTGCAGGTACCATATTCGACACAATGAGTGCCCCGCTCTAATAAGCACCCACGGCGATATTTGCGAATATATTGGCTTGTGAACAATTTCATTTAGCACCCCTTCCGATTGATCAATGTACACAAGACTTATTTATTCGTGTATAATACGCACTCGTGTGTTATGTGCATCCTTAATTATGGGCAATCAAATTCTGGAAAAATATATCTGTTGTATATAAACAGTTCAGGCTGTCAGTATAAACCATGAAATTTACAATCTTTCAACTCTGTATTTTTCTCACCAAAATAATATTCTAATAAGAGGCCCCTATTTCTAATTTTGAGAGCGCCCTGGGCGCTTATTAAGTCGAATACGGTAGGTCTTATGCATACTTCGGTCCAAATCAGACAGAATACCACAGTTAGGCATTTATCCACATGGTTCATTTTTCACATTTATCGAAAAAATAACAAACAACAGAAAAAAACAACTTAAGAGTTATTCACCCTTGTTCTATTTCATTTGGAAAATATCATTAATATCCAGAGAAAAGGGTCTTATATAATTAATTTTGCAAGGTACAAAACTGTGGTTGGCATATTGCACATGTAATGCCAACCGTCGGCAATTTGAGCAGGGAATGAAAGAAATATATACCTTTCATGTTAGCGGGGTACTTTGAAAATAATAGCATTGGTCTTTGCCAATCAGAATCCGATATTCATTTGTAAGGTGAGAAAAACTTAATGGGTAATATTCCATGCCAGTATGTAAAATGTATGCTTCATCAGCAGCAATGTACCCATCTTGCTCCATGGTAAACCTCTTTCACACAATATATTTCAGGAGTTTTTTAATATCATAATTAGTGCAACTTGTCAATCATTATGTAATGTCCAATAAAATCAAAGTTAAATGCAAAACAAAAGTTGAAGCTTTTTTTCTGACATACATAAAGATTAAATAGCAAATAAAACATTATTTATTTATCTTCATGGTATCATTCATTGAAAATTTTAATTCTGTTTATACGTAAGGTATATGTGTAGAGAGAGAGAGAGAGAGAGAGAGAGAGAGAGAGAGAGAGAGAGAGAGAGAGAGACACCAGGGGCGGGCAATCCATGTGAGAAACTGAAACAGGTCTTCAGGTCCTCAGCACAACAAACAGATGCTTTAACACAAAAAATTAAATCCATTTCCAAACATTTCTAAATCAGTATCATCAATGTTCACCTATGACTAGTGCTCCATCAATTTCTTCAAATTCATCAATCTTCATGTTGATCATGTTGATTTTAGCTCCAAGAAAATACTTCATCATTACACATGTTAAAATTAAATCTGTGATCAATTATTTTCCAATCATTTAATTGAGATAGTCTGTTAATAAAATATTGTAAAAATACAAAGTCAGAAAAGGGTTCCACACCAGCTGCTTTCAAACATTTCCACATTTTCCATAACATACATAAGTGTTATATGGATACTCAGAGAAAAAAACTCTAATGATGTTTATGTTCTCATTCACTATTGAATATTTTTCCATCAACAATTGAATTATTTCTTGTAACCAGTGATCTATATCAAAATTTCATAAAACTACCTACTTTCCACTGGTACTCAAACTGGTGACAGTTTACATGATGATGAAACAGTATGAATGGGTACAAAGATGAAACCAATTGATAAAGAACACAAACCCTTTTCCTAATATGAAATCCATGACAAATTAACTACAGTAATATGAAATAATCGGGTGGTCCTAACTTCTTTAGATAGTCTACATAACTACCCAATGACAATACAGTTCCATATTTACAGTGATCCCGAACAATTGTATATGGCATTTAATACAGATGCTTTATTTCAGAATAATCTTGAAAGGGACTTATTAATTCAAATTAAAGGGAAACTGCTCAATGTGATGAATACAACAACGACATGGCATGACATAGCCATTGATATCTTAAAACTGAAACAAGCAATGTATGTTACTTGACAGATGAAGAGTAATGTAAGGGAGATAACTCCACTGTCATACTTGGTTCAATGTTGTTCCGTATCATATAGATAATATAGATAACCTAAACATAATTAGAAACAGTATCGTAAAAGCAACTGTGATATAATACTACTCCAAAGAAGTTAAAGAACACTGATTCTTCCATATTTTTAGGGTTAACTTTTTTTAACTTTATTGTTTGTTTGTTGTTCAACGCCGCACTTAGCAATATTCCAGCTATGTGACTGTGGTCTGTAAATAATTGAGTCTGGACCAGACAATCCAGTGATTGACATCATAAGCATCGGTCCACGCAATTGGGATCGATGACATGTATCAACCAAGTCAGCGAGCCTGACCACCTGATCCCGTTAGTCGCCTTTTACGACAAGCATAGTCGCCTTTTACGGCAAGTATTTTTTTACTTTAGTAATATGAAAGAATCAGGTGTTCTGTGACTTCTTTTAAGAGGAATATAATTGTATTCTTTCATACAGTTTCATCACTATTTTTATTTTTATAGCTTCATCATGTCCACACTATTAACTATTAAAAAACTTAATGGCTTGTCTCAAACTATGTTTAATCAAAATATGAGAACTGTACAAATAATGTTTATAAGCTGAAACAACAGTGAAAGTTAAAATTTGGCACAAACTAATGTTGAAAAACAACACATGATTTTTGCAGTTTCATGCAGATCCATAAAGACATCAAACTTTGAATATTTGTTCTATCGATGATCAATACCTCTATCTAAAAATAGTCCTGGGTGACATACTGCTCCACATGAGGTGACACCGCTGTTATCCTGTGGTATCCATCAAGGTTAATTGGTATCCAAATAAGGTATCCACACAGGGTATCCACGAATTGCCTCCTTGAGCTCTCAGTATCCCATCACATTGTTCACAGACTTGTGAACCAAAGTGCTACCAAGGAGTAGCAGCCACCAGGTTTATTGCTACATTGTATACAATCACATGACTGTAACCATCGGAACAACAATAGTTTATGAGGATGATGAGTGGTATACTGTAAATCTGGAAATTAATGCATCTCCAAATTAATACGACTGCTAACCTCAAGCCAAAAATGTGACTCAATATCAATGCGACACCCCCCATCCTATCCCCAGTGGAATGATACATATCCTTACCGTAATCCAATCAAACAGCAAATAGCACCACTTATCAGCAGCGGCGCTGAGTAGAGCACTTCAGTAAAAATAATAAACAGTGTCTTCCTAAAAACAATACCCAGATTAAATGTTTACTCTGCTGACTGGCATAAAGGAAGTTCAAAGGCAATAAAATAATTCAGCCAACAGTTCACGGATTCATATGCGGAGAAGGTGTCAAAAAGCTTGACACGAGTGGGTAGAACTCTTGACGCAAGCAGCGATATCTCACCAGATCCCCATTGTGTCATTCCTATTCTTTGAATGACATCGTTATATACTTTTGCATCTGCTGCTCAATAAACTGTGTTTGTGTTTTAATATCGGTATTTCCACCGTGCAGTGAGGCCGTCTTATTGTTGATAGTCATTTGGAGACATAAATGCAAAGTTAATTAATGCAAGCAAATACCACTCGCCTTTTATTCAAATTTGCACTAATTTCAAGATTTACAGTATATAACAGCTTTCTAGAAGTGGTATAACTAACCAGTGAGATAACCGACAGTGTACCGTCTATGTATATGGTATAACCCTGAAGTATTCCCTGGTCAGTTGTCCCAAACACATCCCAAGTGTAGCAAGGAATCAGGATAAAAGACAGGGAAAGACCTTGGCATTCTCTGACTTTAATAATCAACAATAAATCTAGGCAATAAATTCCCAAACTGTGGTTCAAAATTGCCATGTATAATTATTGGCCAAAAGCCAATTCTAATGCCCCCCCACCCAAATTTTAAAATTAGACAATAATCCTTTTCAGAAAGATAACATAGATAAAATGGTTTCAGCAATCATCCTAACCAAGGCCTAGAGTTCTAGTTAAATTTAATGGCTGAAACACCCAGTTATGTCCCAGCTGTGGCCTTGGAGCAGGCAAACCAGGAAACAACCTGGTAGAACCAGACGTTAGTGGGACTGGGTGTGGTGTTGATGAGAGGGCCACCTACCTTTTGTCGAGTCAGGCTGTTGTACAACTTGAGCTTCGATTCCTTCTCAACAGCGGGAGCCTCCCAGGAGGGCTGCGCTCTCTTCATTTTTCCTGAAACAGAGTTTACAAATAATAATAGTCGACCAGTATTTCAATGTCCTTACTTCATGTTCACTGCTGCAAGAAAGTCATGTCTGTTGCGCACCTGGATATTGTCAGTGTCAAGGATTCAGCTCATGTCCACCTGGATATTGTCAGTGTCAAGGATTCAACTCAATCTCACCTGGATATTGTCAGTGTCAAGGATTCAACTCAATCTCACCTGGATATTGTCAGTGTCAAGGATTCAACTCAATCTCACCTGGATATTGTCAGTGTCAAGGATTCAACTCAATCTCACCTGGATATTGTCAGTGTCAAGGATTCAACTCAATCTCACCTGGATATTGTCAGTGTCAAGGATTCAACTCAATCTCACCTGGATATTGTCAGTGTCAAGGATTCAACTCAATCCCACCTTGATATTGTCAGTGTCAAGGATTCAACTCAATCTCACCTGGATATTGTCAGTGTCAAAGATTCAACTCAATCTCACCTGGATATTGTCAGTGTCAAGGATTCAACTCAATCTCACCTGGATATTGTCAGTGTCAAGGATTCAACTCATGTCCACCTGGATATTGTCAGTGTCAAGGATTCAACTCAATCTCACCTGGATATTGTCAGTGTCAAGGATTCAACTCAATCTCACCTGGAAATTGTCAGTGTCAAGGATTCAACTCAATCTCACCTGGATATTGTCAGTGTCAAGGATTCAACTCAATCTCACCTGGATATTGTCAGTGTCAAGGATTCAACTCAATCTCACTTGGATATTGTCAGTGTCAAGGATTCAACTCAATCTCACCTGGATATCGTCAGTGTCAAGGATTCAACTCAATCTCACTTGGATATTGTCAGTGTCAAGGATTCAACTCAATCTCACCTGGATATTGTCCGTGACAAGGATTCAACTCAATCTCACCTGGATATTGTCAGTGTCAAGGATTCAACTCAATCTCACCTGGATATTGTCCGCGACAAGGATTCAACTCATGTCCACCTGGATATTGTCCGCGACAAGGATTCAACTCAATTTCACCTGGATATTGTCCGTATCAAGGATTCAACTCAATCTCACCTGGATATTGTCAGTGTCAAGGATTCAACTCATGTCCACCTGGATATTGTCAGTGTCAAGGATTCAACTCAATCTCACCTGGATATTGTCAGTGTCAAGGATTCAACTCAATCTCACCTGGATATTGTCCATGTCAAGGATTCAACTCAATCCCACCTGGATATTGTCAGTGTCAAGGATTCAACTCAATCCCACCTGGATATTGTCAGTGTCAAGGATTCAACTCAATTTCACCTGGATATTGTCAGTGTAAAGGATTCAACTCAATCTCACCTGGATATTGTCAGTGTCAAGGATTCAACTCATGTCCACCTGGATATTGTCTGTATCAAGGATTCAACTCAATTTCACCTGGATATTGTCAGTGTCAAGGATTCAACTCAATCTCACCTGGATATTGTCCGTGACAAGGATTCAACTCATGTCCACTTGGATATTGTCAGTGTCAAGGATTCAACTCAATTTCACTTGGATATTGTCAGTGACAAGGATTCAACTCAATCCCACCTGGACATTGTCAGTGTCAAGGATTCAACTCAATCTCACCTGGATATTGTCAGTGTCAAGGATTCAACTCAATCTCACCTGGATATTGTCAGTGTCAAGGATTCAACTCAATCTCACTTGGATATTGTCAGTGTCAAGGATTCAACTCAATCTCACCTGGATATTGTCCGTGACAAGGATTCAACTCAATCTCACCTGGATATTGTCAGTGTCAAGGATTCAACTCAATCTCACCTGGATATTGTCCGTGACAAGGATTCAACTCAATCCCACCTGGATATTGTCAGTGTCAAGGATTCAACTCATGTCCACCTGGATATTGTCAGTGTCAAAGATTCAACTCAATTTCACCTGGATATTGTCCGTGACAAGGATTCAACTCAATCTCACCTGGATATTGTCCGTGACAAGGATTCAACTCAATTTCACCTGGATATTGTCAGTGTCAAGGATTCAACTCAATCTCACCTGGATATTGTCAGTGTCAAGGATTCAACTCAATCTCACCTGGATATTGTCAGTGTCAAGGATTCAACTCAATCTCACTTGGATATTGTCAGTGTCAAGGATTCAACTCAATCTCACCTGGATATTGTCCGTGACAAGGATTCAACTCAATCTCACTTGGATATTGTCAGTGTCAAGGATTCAACTCAATCTCACCTGGATATTGTCCGTGACAAGGATTCAACTCAATCCCACCTGGATATTGTCAGTGTCAAGGATTCAACTCATGTCCACCTGGATATTGTCAGTGTCAAAGATTCAACTCAATTTCACCTGGATATTGTCCGTGACAAGGATTCAACTCAATCTCACCTGGATATTGTCCGTGACAAGGATTCAACTCAATTTCACCTGGATATTGTCAGTGTCAAGGATTCAACTCAATCTCACCTGGATATTGTCAGTGACAAGGATTCAACTCATGTCCACTTGGATATTGTCAGTGTCAAGGATTCAACTCAATTTCACTTGGATATTGTCCGTGACAAGGATTCAACTCAATCCCACCTGGATATTGTCCGTGACAAGGATTCAACTCATGTCCACTTGGATATTGTCCGCGACAAGGATTCAACTCAATCCCACCTGGATATTGTCAGTGTCAAGGATTCAACTCATGTCCACCTGGATATTGTCCGTGACAAGGATTCAACTCAATTTCACCTGGATATTGTCAGTGTCAAGGATTCAACTCAATCTCACCTGGATATTGTCCGTGACAAGGATTCAACTCAATTTCACCTGGATATTGTCCGTGACAAGGATTCAACTCATGTCCACTTGGATATTGTCAGTGTCAAGGATTCAACTCAATTTCACTTGGATATTGTCCGTGACAAGGATTCAACTCAATCCCACCTGGATATTGTCAGTGTCAAGAATTCAACTCAATTTCACTTGGATATTGTCCGTGACAAGGATTCAACTCAATCCCACCTGGATATTGTCAGTGTCAAGGATTCAACTCATGTCCACCTGGATATTGTCCGTATCAAGGATTCAACTCAATCCCACCTGGATATTGTCCGTATCAAGGATTCAACTCAATCCCACCTGGATATTGTCAGTGTCAAGGATTCAACTCATGTCCACCTGGATATTGTCCGTATCAAGGATTCAACTCAAACTCACCTGGATATTGTCCGTATCAAGGATTCAACTCAATCCCACCTGGATATTGTCAGTGTCAAGGATTCAACTCATGTCCACCTGGATATTGTCCGTATCAAGGATTCAACTCAATCTCACCTGGATATTGTCCGTATCAAGGATTCAACTCAATCTCACCTGGATATTGTCAGTATCAAGGATTCAACTCAAGCTTACCATCAACCAGTGTACTGGAGTTTTATCACAGATTACTGGAGTTTAGTCACAGATTACTGGAATTAATTCACAGATTAATGTCATCTTCGTAGTGAAAGTTGAGACCATTAACCAGTAGTTTCAGGAGCCATGTCAGTGTGTAAATGGTAGTGTAGGTTTTCGTCCTCAATTTATCTATAAATCCTGAACATAAGTACCACTCACTGACTCCTGGGACGACAGTAAAACACAGTCAGCCTTACAATCACTGTCATCATTCTAGTGGCACAGAAAGCTATCTGGCACAGGAACAAACATGGAGAAGTGGAAAGAATTTCTTGTAAAAATTTACTACGTGTTCAGCAAATAGTGAAGAAAAGATACAAGGCAGAAGTTGAAGTGTACTTAGGGTTAACAAACTCTCATATCTGGGATTGGTAGTGCCTTCTAGAACACTGCTCACCCAACAGCTTAACCACAGCTTAACTACAAGTTGTTTCATTCGTTTGTTGTTTAATGCCATGCTCAGCAATATTCCGGCTATATGACCATGTTACTGGTATCCAGTCTGGACCAGACAATCCTGTGATTGACGTGAGTATCGATTTACATAACTTGGATATGATTACATGCATCCACCAAGCCAGTAAATCTGACAAGACTAACATAGTCTATGAAATCTTTTTTTTAAATTCTAAAATTAAAACAAATAATTTTCCTGAAATTATTTTCCTAATGTGGAATAGAGCTGGAAAGATGCTAGACTTTCTCTTATATAAATCTAGATTGGTTTTGTTTTCATAAAGTCATAGTGCAGGACTATAAATCTGACCACCCGATCCTGTTAGTCGCCTCTTACGACAAGCATGGGTTGCCAAAGACCAATTCTAGCCAGGATCTTAACAGAGCGAGCAACAAATGGTGCAATACATCAAGTACATACAAAACCTGTCAGAATCGGACATATTTTTAACCTATCAATACACACCCTCAAAACTAACAAACTTATATGTACCATACCATGCAGCCATTCATTGTCATTCTTGCCAGCATGTATAGGTACTGCTCCAGGGTGAACATTGCCCAACAATGAATAGTCATTGAGTTAATGCAGCTCTTTACTAAGTCTTACAGTTATTCAAGATGAACAAGCTTTCTCATCAGTTACTCAAACAGCCCAAAGACGTACATAGACGTGCATATGTCCTTCCGTGGATGGCTATACCATGTGAGATTCACTTGACACAAGCAAGCAAAACTGAAGTGCCTTTATTGTATTTAGATGATCAGAACCCTGTGCAAACAGGGAGTTTGTTGACTGTTCTCTCTGAACTCAAGCATGTTGTACCTTCCTGGCAAGATGCTCCCTCCCCATGAGATGCTCCCTCCCCTTGTCTCTTTTGTAATTACAGCTTGCCACTTCACTCTGAAGTTAACACTATCAGAAGTGTCTCAGCATTCATCCAACCCTTCATCACTCCAGTATCCCACCTGTCATCACTGTTTTCAACCTGTCATCACTATTATCTCACCCTTCATCACTCCTTTATTCCACTCTTCATCACTATTTTCTCACCCTTCATCACTCCAGTTTCCCACCTGTCATCACTGT